TTGTGCTCCTGGGGGATTGGAGGAATGGTGTTCTGGTAGGATGGAGGAAAAGGACTTGGAGGGGATGGTAGACAATAAGGATCCTGGAGGCAATGGAAGCAAGTGGGGACACTCTGAGCCCCTCCTCTGCTGGTGTACCCTGGTGCCACCACAGGGCATCTACCCATCCTCCTAGAAGCCATTTCCTCCTCTCCAGGAGAAGAGGCTGTCTGTGCATTGTGGGCAGGACTTGGGCCCCATTGTCCTCATTCGCCTGCACAAGTGGCGGCTCTTCTTGGAGGATGCCTGGTTCTGCAAGGATGTCCGAGTGACAGCCCCCAACGGCACCCTGTATCGCTTCCCCTGCTACCAGTGGCTGGAGGGGGTCACCACGGTGGAGGTGCGGGAGGGCTCAGGTAGGACCCAACCKGCCCCCATCCTTCCCTATGGCCAGAGGTTTCACTTTTGACAGTCCCCCTTTTTTCTAGGGAAGAAGCTGGTGGATGACRAGCTGCAGATCCTCAAGGAACATCGTCGTCAGGAGCTGGCAACACGGCAGGAGGCTTACSGGTGACAGCAGGGACATGGGGACAAGGCCTACCTTGGCCAGGTGGGCTGGTCAGCAGTGATGCTGACATTYGGCTCCCATTTCCCCACCCCCCAGGTGGAAGAACTTCGCCCAGGGCTGGCCCCGTTGCCTCAATGTGGACTCCATCTTTGAGCTGGACTCCAACATCAAGTTCTCCTTCACCAGGGCCACCAACTTCAATGGTTTCCTCATCTTCCAGTAAGCAGTACTGAGGCCAGGGAGGACCTGGGTGATGGCAAAGGGGCCAGAGAAGGGAAAGGATGTGCTGAGGTCCCCCCCTGCCCTGTAGAGGGGCCTCCCACTTTCTGTCAGGGTTCCTCCTCAGACGCACCTCCTGGAACAGCCTGGATGAGATGCGCACCATCTTCTCCCGGACACAGGGCAGGGATATTGGTGGGTCACTTGTRTTTTGTCCCCTGCCCTTCCCCCTGCATCACTCAGGGCTTCACAAGATGTCCCTGGAGAGTGGGTAAGTGAGTGCTGATGTCTAACCATYCCCTTAGTCCCTGAGTATGTGGCCAAGCACTGGCAAGAAGATGTCTTCTTCGGTTCCCAGTTCCTCAATGGCAACAACCCCATCATCATCCGTCGCTGCACCACGCTGCCGCTCAAATTCCCAGTGACAACAGAGATGGTCAGTAGCTCATTGGGGAGCGGCACTGACCTGGGCAAGGAGCTGCAGGAAGGTCGGATCTTCATTGTGGACTACAAGGTGCTGGAGGACATCCCTACCGACACCATTTACGGGCGCCAGCAGTACATAGCAGCCCCGCTCTGCCTGCTTCACCAGGGCACTGATGGGCTCCTGCGTCCCATCGCCATCCAGGTAGGGATGTCCCACCCCAAACCCTGCCAACAGGAGGGTGGCGATGATCCTAGACCAGGGGTGATGTCCCACAGCTCAGCCAAACACCAGGATCCTGCAGCCCCATCTTYCTGCCAAGTGATGACGAGTGGGACTGGCTGTTGGCCAAGACCTGGGTGCGCAATGCCGACTTCTACTGCCACCAGCTCATCACCCACCTGCTGCGGACCCACTTATTTGGGGAGGTCTTCGCCATTGCCACCCTGCGCCACCTGCCCACCTGTCACCCCCTCTTCAAGGTAAGGTCCCTCCACAGGGCCACCCTCTCCCCCCACCCCAGAGATCTGAGGGCAGTTATGCCTCACCTGACAGTCCCCTGAGCTCCATAGAAGGGTTCATGGTCACCTACCAGGTGTTTGTTCCCCCCTCAGCTCCTCATGCCCCACTTCCACTTCACACTGCACATCAACACTTTGGCCCGCAGTGTCCTCATCAACCAGGGTGGCCTCATTGACAAGGTGAGCCCTGGGGACTGAGAGCACTGGGCTCTCCTGGGGCACTGGAGCCTGAGGGGCACTGAATGCTCTGGGTTATTGGGAGGCACCAGAGGTGTACTGGGGACACTGGCAGTCTGTTGGAGTCCACTGGGGCACAGAAGGGCACTGGAATCTTGCGGGCACAGGGGCCTCCTAGGATCTACTGGAAACACTGGGGGGTACTGGGGTGCTACTGGGAGCAATATAGGATACTGGGGGGTGCACTGGGATTGATGGGGAGCACTAGAGTGTACTGGGGCCCTAAAGAGCACCGGGAAGCATGACCAGCCTGGGAGACATTAAAGAATATGGGGTGGCGGACACTGGAGTGCACTGGTGYATGTGGGAGTACTAGGGGCATTGGGTGTGTTCTTGGAGGACTCGTACCCTGGGAGCAGTGTGGTGTACCGGGGTATACTGGGAGCACTGGGAGACACTGAAGCCTGGAACCTCCTGCCCTCCCCAACCGTGGGTGGCCCTCCTCCTAGGGCTCAGGGGTGACCTACGAGGGGATGCTGCTGGTGGTACAGCGAGGCCTGGAGCAGGTGACCTATACATCCCTGTGCCTCCCTGATGATATCCGCCACCGCGGCATGTCCGAAGTCCCCAACTACCATTACCGAGATGACGGGATGAGCCTCTGGGAAGCCATTGAGAGGTGAGACTGGTTTCACAGAGTGGAGGGTGGTCCCAGAGTGCCCCAGATATCACAAGCACCACTTCCTTTGGCAGCTTTGTCACTGGCATTGTGATATTCTACTATGGTGGGGATGCAGCAGTGAGTGGAGACACTGAGCTGCAGGCCTGGGTGATGGACATCTTCACCAATGGCTTCCTGGGCAGGACCTCCTCAGGTAGCAGATCTGCGGTTGCCACAGAATGTCCCTAAGGGAGGCAGGGGGCATGCAGGTCCCTGAGGCTCTTGGCTGTCCCCACCCCCCATCCAGGTGTTCCCTCCTCGCTGCAGACGGTGGCAGAGCTCATCAAGTTCCTCACCATGGTGATGTTCACCTGTTCAGCACAGCACGCGGCCGTCAACAATGGGCAGGTGGGACATGGGCCAGGGACCCAAAGGATAYCTCCAGCTGTCCTTGAGCCATGCTGGGGACATGTCCCACTTCCACTCCTCTACGTGCAGGAAGGATGTCCCCATCCTTAACCAATGTCTATGGTCACACCTCCAGAAGGATGTCCCCATCCATCCTATCTCCATGAAAGGATATCCTCACCCTATGTCCCCATCCAATGYGTCCCCATGCCAGAAGGATGTCCTAATCCATCCCCCCTTCATACTGGAGGATATGTCCCCATCCATKTCTCTTTATGTGATGAGATGTCCCCATCTGCCCCCTCTCTGTGCCAAAGAATGTCCCCAWCTCCTTGCTGTTTTGAGGGGGTGTCCCCACCTGTCCCCTCACAGTTTTGGGGGGATGTCCCCCCCATCCTCTTGCTGTTTTGGGGGATGTTCTCTGCAGTGACCTGTCCCTCTGCAGTATGACCTGGGGGCCTTCGTTCCCAATGCCCCATCCTCCATGCGCCACCCACCACCCTGCGAGAAGGGCCGGGCATTCCTCCAGCACTTCCTCGACACCATCCCTGAGGTGGCCACCACTGCCAACATCGTGGTAGCCCTCATTCTCCTCAGCTCYCAACTCAAGGACAGGGTGAGTTTGGCCCCACAGTCCCCATGTGCCCCCTCAAACAGCTCTGTGAGCCTGGAGAACTGCAAGAGGTGCCCACAAGAGTGGATGTCACCACCATTGCTGTCACCAAGCATGGGGGATGGCCACCATTGCTCCACAGCTACYAGGGTGCCAGAGAACCCCCGCTATGGCCCCAAGGGGTTGAAGCTGAAGGGTCCATGTCCCTGTCCCCACCAGAGGCTCCTGGGACAGTACCCGGAGGAGTGGTTCACGGAGGCAGAACCCCGGCGGCTCATCCGGGCCTTCCAAGGGCGGCTGGAGGAGATCCGGGACCAGATAGAGGAGAGGAACCACCAGGCTGAACTGAGATACAACTACCTGAACCCGCTGGAGACAGAAAACAGCATCTCCATCTGAGCACGGGAGCTGCACCCGCTCAGCACCCCCAGCAGTCTCAGCACCCTGCACCTGGGCACCCCCAGCACACAGAACCACCATCATCTGAACATCCATTACACCCAGCACTCCCAGCACCCCCTACATGGCCATGCCAAACAGCTTTGACACCCAGCACCCCACACTTGGACAACCCCAGCAACCCCACAACCCCACACCTGGAGACCCTCAGCATCTACCCCCCAGCACCCTCAGCACCCCCCATTCTGTTTTCCTCCCCCCAATAAATGCCAGCTGTCAATCAAACCCTTGCTGCTTGTGGGTGTACTGCAAAACCACAACCCCCAGTCAAAGTGGAAGCTGGACAAAAGCAACTGGGAGACATGGAGTGCCCAGTGCTCCCAGTGTTCCCTGCCAGTGCTCGCAGTTTTCACCCTAGTGACTCCAGTACCCCTCGGCAGTGCTCCCCTTGTTGCAGGCAGACTGGGAGCTTCAGACTAAGTTTATTAGAGAAGCTCCTTTACACATATAAGGTGCAGAAAGGACTCCCAACACCCCCAAACCCACCCACAACCCTCCAGCTTTCTAAACTTCTCAGAAGGGAATGTGGGTGTGGCTGGATCCAATCCAAGTTTCCAGTCTCCTCAGCAAGGAGACTCACAGGCAAGGTGCTCCAGCTGCATTTTGGAGGCCCTTCACTAAACCTGCTCAGGCTTCCAGACATCTTTTGTGTGTTGAGGAACCAAAACCAATGCATATTAATTTAATATGGATAATCCACATCCTTAATCTCCTGGTCACACAGTCCAGAGTGCTCCTGGCCTTCCTTGCTGCCAGGGCACACAGCTGCCTCCTGCCCAGCTCCCTGTCCACCAAGACCTTTCCTGGCAGACAGGGCAGGCAGGCAGCTCCAGCCTGTGCCACTGCAGGGGCTGACACTGGCATTTGGCTTTCTGGGACTTCATGAGCAACTGAACTGAATATATGTAGGTAACCAAGAAGGCCAAAATCCACAGCTGAAGTGTAAAGAGTAGATTTATTCTGTTGCCACAGTAGGAAAATAGGGGACACATAATGCCTAAGCTTATTCCATCTTAACAGGAGCAAAGAGCATGCACAAGCTTGTTCCCTGCCTTAACATATCACAGGGCCTATCACAGGCACATTCCTTCATGAGGCAGTGTTTTTGAAATCTCTGAGCTTTTTACCTCTGTTCCCTCTCACCAGGAGGCCTCGGGCTGTGAAAAAAAATATTTTTCAGGTCTTTTTACAACATCCTGTTGTCTTCTGCAGAAATTCCACTTCTCAAATCAGACAGAAAACAACCCAAAGCAACCAAAATATGTGAGATTTCCCCCACCGAGTATTAGCATCTTTCAGTTACAAGATCATCTTTGAGTGAAAACAACTCTTATTTTTTTCTTCCTTGCCAAATCATCTGCTTTTAACCCCTGCTTCCCCTCAGTGAGGTTCCTGCCAATACTTTCCTCCTCCTTGAAGCCTTTCACTGAACACAGAGACCTGAGAGACCTTTCCAGTAAAGACTCAGGCAAGGAAGCCATTGCATCCCCCAACATGAGTATCAGTGTCTGTTGGATCCCCTCCTCAAGCCTTGGCTCTGCTCCACAAACCCCTGGGGTAAGTTCTGCCCCTGCATGGTCACAGAGGGTGAGATGGGCACTGATGGTTTTCTTTCACCAGTTCTTTCCAGCTCAGCCCAGCTCCCTCCAAGCTCTCACACCTCCTCTGAGCTCTCTGTAGTACCAGGGGCCTGGCCCCACATGATTCAGGGCTGGCTGCTCTGGCCAGTGGCCCCACAGCCTCAGCCCCTCTCAAGGGCACAGCAGCAGCTGTAGCTCACAGAGGACTCAGCCCCAGCCATGGGGAAAGGTGTTTGGCCAAAGGGAAAGGAAGCTCCCTGTGTGCCCTGCTCTCCTCTCCAGGAGATGCTGAGAGCTCTGCAGGCCTTCCTGCCATCCCATCTCCCCAGGCTAACACAAGTCACAGGCCCTGTGGTCCAGAAGAGCTATTCCTGCTCCAGACACAGGGCTCATTCCAAGGCTGGTGCAGCCAGAAAGCTGTTCTCATTTCCCACTCATTCCTGCTCTACCGAGGATGGATCTCAAGACCCCCCAAAAATTGCTGCAGGTTAATTTATTTCATTTGAATACACTGTGAGTCTCCCTATTTACAAAGTCTCCTGGTCACACAAGCTTGGTGGATGCTGAAGGAGGAGGGGATGAGTAATGACATTTGTTCTTAAAGAGAACATCACAAGCAGAGAAGAAAAGAGATGTAAATAAGGAAAACCAGACTTGTTCTATCATGAGATGCACTGGGAGACACTGACAGAGGACAGCAGGCAGGCTGTGGCTCCTGAAAAGCATCTAGTCACAAGTTTCTTCAGGACATCCTTGAACTTCTAGTGCCTCAGGCTGTAGATGAAGGGGTTCAGTGTTGGAGGCACCACTGAGTACAGAACTGACACCATCAGATCCAGCAATGGGGAGGAGATGAAGGGGGGCTTCAGGTAAACAAACATGGAAGTTCTGATCAACAAGGAGACCAGCCAGTGACCGAAGCTCATGGATAAAGCTTTGTGCTGTCCCTGCTCAGACTGGATCCTCAGCATGACCCTGAAGAGCTGCACAGCATAGAAAAGAATGAATACAAAACACCCAAATCATAAACAGACACTAAACACAAGAAGCCTAACTTTGACCAGTTATTTTTAGAGATGTTCCTGTCTCCAGATTCTCAAGAGACTTGAATCTTTGTTGTCATGGAGAAGCAGGCAGAGTCAGAACCCTGCAAGGTCAAGAGTCAGTTGAAGATGAAGGCTGGAAAAGAGTCATTGCATGTACCAGGAGGGAGGTTCCTCCCCCTTCTATAAACCTGACAAGTAGGACAGGTACCTTCTGCAACAAGTAAGAGATCCTGAACAAGGTGGCCAGACAACCAATGAGGTGGGCAAAGGTCCTTCTGGGATAGAGATCCTTCCTAAAGCAACACCACCACATCATGATTTCCTCTGTTAGGACGAAAAGAAGAGCTGCTGTAATACACGTTTCACTTCTAAGAAGAATGAAGGGCCTAATTTGCAGATGGGATCCAACTCAGGTCGGGAAGTCTGCAGTCTCCCAGTGACTCAGGTAAGGGGCATTACTGGAAAACTCTCTAGTCTAGTAAGGCCCTCCAATTACTATCCATTATTGTTTTTTCCAGTGACAAAATAACAAAGAAAAGTCTGAGGGCAGTCAAAAGAGACTTCAAGCCCTTGAGACGATGGGTAGAAGGATCAGGAGTACAGGTAGTTATTTCCTTGATCCTTCTGGTAACAAGGAATAATATTGATAGGAATAGGCAAGATGAGTCATATCAATGCGTGGGTCTGATGCAATTGGAAAAAAATAGGTTATTTGACTATGGGATGATCTATTTAACACCTGGYCTACTGACACCTGATGGGATCCACCTTTCCCAGAGAGGAAAAGATCTCTAGCACAGGAGCCAGTGGGGCTTGTTGGCAGAGCTTTGAATGAACTTAGAAGGGGGAAAGGGACAAAAACCACGCTCACCAGTGATGAACAATGGGATGGAGTGCCAAAACTTGAGGAAAGGAGCACAAATAGGATCCCTCAATTCTGCCACAATGTACCACACCTGAAATGTTTCTATATTAATGCATGCAGCATGAGGAACAAACATAATGGGCTGGAAACCTTGGCCCACTGCCAGAGATTTGACATCACTGGCATAAGTGAAACCTGGTGGGATGTGACAGCTCTGTGATGCAAGTGCCTTGTTGGATGGTTAAAGGCTCTTTCAGAAGGATAAGCAGGGCAGGAGAGATGCAGGGTGGCACTGGATGTAATCGAAGGGCTGGAATGTCTGGAGCTCACAGCTCCAGATGGCAATGGCACAGCTGAGTGTGTCTGGGTGAGAATCAAGGGGCAAACAAACAATGCAGATGTCACTGAGGGAGTYYACTACAGACCATCCAGCCASGCCCAGGATATTGAAGAGTTATTCTTTGAGGAGCTAAAGGACATTTCCAAGGGAAGATGGCCTCCTGGATCTGCTGCTTATCAACAGAGAGGATCTTGTGATGCCACAGCTGGATAACTGTGTTGCACGAAACTGGCCCATGGATTGGACACAAAGGTGACAGTGGCAGGTAAAATCAGGCTGGCACCAGTCACTAGTGGGGTTCCACAGGGAACCATCATCAGCCCAGGTCTCTTGAACATCTTCATAAGTGACTTGGAGGCAGGACTCCAGTAAATACTAAGAAAGTTTGCCAATGAAATAAAACTGGGAGGAGCTATCCACTCCCTCAAGGACGGAAAGGCCCTGCAAAAAGYGTTGACAAATCTGATATRTGGGCCATCACCAGCTGTGAGAAGTTTAACAAGGGCAAGTGCAGATTATGCACCTGAGACAGGGTGCCCCTGGTTGTGTGTACRGACTGGGGGATGAGATGCCTGAGAGCAACTGCRGGAAGGGACCTGGAGGTCCTGGTTGATGTCTAGTTGGATCTGAGTTAGYAGTGCYCTGGCAGCCAGGAGGGYCATCCAGGTCCTGGGGGAATCAGGCCAGAATCRCTGGCCTGAGCAGGGAGKGGGTTGTCCTTTTCTGCTTTGCACTGRGGCAGCCTCCCCTCAAGTCCTGGGGGCGATTTTGAGCACCAAAACACAAAAAAGACATTAAGCCATTGGAGAGTATTCAAAGTAGGCCACAAGGATGGGAAGGGTCTGGAGGGGAAGTTTCATGAGGAGCAGCTGAGGTCTGTTCTCCAACTTCATCTGTTCAGTTGGAGAAGACTGAAGGGAGACTWCACTGACATCTTCCCAGGGGGCAACACAGGGGCAGGTACCAACCCCTTCACTCTTGTGACCAGTGGCAGGACTTGAGAAAACAGCTGGAGCTGAGTCAGGGAGGTTTAGGTGAGATATCAGGAAAAGGTTTTTTTATCCCAGATGTTTGTCAGGCATTGGAACAGGCTCCCCAGGGAAGCAATAACAGCTCCAAGCCTGTTTGAGCTCAAGAAGCATTTGGAGAATGCACTCAGCCCATGGTGGAATTGCTGGAGTGTCCTGTGCAAGGCTCGGAGTTGGATTTGACTATCCTGATGGGACCCTTCCAACTCAGCCTACTCTGTGATTCTGTGAACTCCCTGCTCTGCCCCAAGACCCRTGCTCAGCCCCCTGACTCACCCAGTGGAGAAGGGACAGCAGTRCCCACGGTAACAAAACCCACCAAAAGCCTGGTTTATACAAGAGACTGCACCAGGTGAACTGSAAAAGGGAGCAGATCAGGCCCCCTCACTCTTTTTTCTGTTTTCCCTGCCTCTTTTTTTTTCTCTCTCTCTCCTCTCTTTCTGTTCTTTGTTTGCCCAGCTCCAGCCCATCCACACGGCAGMACCAACACAGGAATGAAGCACTGGAAATATTCTTTGTTTCCTTCCCTGCCTGYGCCTGGGCAAAGCATGCCTGTCCTGTTCTATCCCATTCTCTGCACAAACTGTGTGGTGGGACTGGGGATATCGTGGAGCTGTGCTGTGCCTTGCAAGTCAGCACCCTGAAGGAGTTTGTGGTGGGAGCAGAGAACTCATGGAAGTGTTGGGTACAACAAAACRTAGGAGTTCCTCATGTGTGTCCATGTCATTGCTGAGCTTGATGGGAATTTATAATAAACATCATGCCCCTACAAGTGGGTCATGACAAGGGTCCTGGGGCTCCTCCCTTTCCATGCTCCCCCTACYCTCTCCAGGCTGCTGGGGGTGCCCTCCCCTACATACTCACCATTTTAGAATCACAGGGCTCCCTCCTCTCTGGGCTGCTGGGGGTCCCAGGGGTTCCCCTCTCTGAGGTTCCCCCTCTTTGCTGTTGGATCCCAGGGGTTCCCAAGCTGTTGGTGGTCCTGAGGATCTCCCCTGTGAGAGACTGGAATGTTCCAGGTTATTGGCTCAAACAATTGGCCACTTGCAAAAGCGGGTGGTGGCGCGGGGCTATGCTGATTATGTGCAAGGGAACAGTCCAGGTGCAGAGGATGACCACAACAAATCAACCTTTGTTTAGCAAGACTTTGGTGTTTGAGCCAGACAAGGGAAGAGGCCTATCAGAAGCTGATCCAATGAGGTGGGACAGTGCTTTTGATCAGGGTGATGTCATCCCTTCTACAACTGGCTCAGTTATAAAAACTCCCCCCTCCCTGAGGGACATACTAGGATATTCAGATATAGAGCTGAAGGTTTTCATCCCTTCTGATGAGGCATAATTAACTCAACTACAATGACTGAAAGACAGCTGTCATGTCTTAATAGGTGTCATAGAAATCATCAAAGATCCTTGAAGTGCCCCAGACTCATTTTGGGGGCTTTTCTCCAGAGGATTGCACATTGACAGTGTTGCTACAAATCCACAGTGTTGTAACAGATGGTGCAAACTCCCCCTTGCAGGGGAAGTACAYAGACCTTCCCACATAAACCCAAGTGTACGTTAACACATCGAACTTTGTGTTTCACAGGCTTTATCCACCCCCAACAAATCAAGGCAATGACYATCACTTCAACAAACTGCTATCAAAATTGCAACAATCAAGTCCCATGTCTGGATCCAGAGGTAGTTATACCTTTCTAGTCTTATCCTTTCTTTCTCTTTCCTTTTTTTTCCTCGTACATTTTCTTATATGTCATTTTTATGCTTTTATATTCTTACATTTCTATAGATAATAATAACCAAAATGGTTGCCTACCTCCTTTCCATTGCATCCAAATTGTTCTAAAAAACACTTACATATAGATAGATAGATAGATAGATAGATAGATAGATAGATAGATAGATAGATAGATAGCTCGATAGATGATAGATAGATAGATAGATAGATAGATAGATAGATAGATAGATAGATAGATAGATAGATAAACAAACACCAATATAATCTTCAGAGGCAGGTCATAACAACCCCTCTCCAAGATTCTCCAGACCCCTAGGAGTCCCCTGTCTTCACAGGGACCTTTCAGCATCCTGGGGATCCAAGGGCTCCCCACCTCTCCACACTCCTACCTTGTCC